CCCCACGACTTTCCTCTGGCTGTCTTTCCACCACCTGCTTCAGCCCATCAGACGTGCCCCTCATCCCCAGCTCAGGAACGTTGTACAGGCTGGCTTTTCCTCTGCCTGGAACATCTCTCCCCTAACTACCCAGGGGCTCATCCCAGCTCCCACTGTTCAGCCTGTCAAATGTGCCCATTGTGTCCTGTTTTAGGGTTCAAAGAGACCCCAAATCTCAAATACAATTTGAGGAGACCATTTAGTGTCATAAAGAAAAGGAAAAGACACAACAAAGACATACCACCCGCATGAAGGAGCCCATGAGCACGAGGTCATAGTGGTGAGGTCAAATGATGTCCACGGGTTCACAGAGACCAAGGCCGTCAGGACAGGACTCATGACTATCTGACCCCAGTACCCCAATCTCTACGAAAGACACATGCAAGCACGCCCCTGTGGGAAACTATCCCTCCCTGGGCTACCTGAAGGCAAGAGTTCACGTTCCTGGTTAACAGTCGGAAGGCAATCACTGCAGTTGTAATCCACGTGGGACTCCACAGATGGATTTGGGAATTTCACTTTTAAAAAAATCATTTTATTGGGGGCACCTGTAACTCTTATCACAATCCATCCATCCATCTATTGTGCTAAGCACATTTGTACATTTGTTGACATCATCATTTTCAAAACATTTTCTTTCTACTTGAGCCCTTGGTTATCAGCTCATTTCCCCCCTCCCTCCCGAACCCTTGATAATTTATAATTTTTCATGTCTTACACTGACCGCTGTCTCCCTTCACCCACTTTCCTGTTGTCCGTCCCCTAGGGAGGGGGTTCTATGTGCGGCTGTTAAGAGCGACCCTGTGCAGAACAGAAACAGCCCAGTCCTGTGCCAGCCTCACAGGCTGCGTAAACCCATTGATGCAGCCACTGTTTGCACAGCCTCTCCACTTTACCATGCATGATGTCCTTCTCCAGGGATCGGTCTTTCCTGACATGTCCAAGGTATGTGAGATAGCATCCCGCCATCCTTGCCCATGATTGGTCGCCTTCTGTAAACCAAGTGCTCAGAATTAAGCTCCACTCTAGTCCCTAGCTCGACCTTCACAGTGACCCTTCTTGGCTGTGAATGGTCCTCCCCTAATTCTCCACAGGCTCATCCCTCCTCCCACTGCTTACTCAAAGTAGTATTCTCTATGAGGGTACCTGCTGTGGCACCCCCACCTGACTTTAGCCACTTCCTCTCACACCCAAAGCCCTGTCATTCTCTGGCCATGCGTACTTGCCTCTCTCATAGCAGGTGAGCTCGTATCAGAGGCCCAAGCATCCTCCCTGACGTGGACAACAAAACAAGTGCTTAGTCATGAGTGGACAGAGCAGTCACTGGGTCTTTGAAAGGGTAGTTAAATGGAGTGGTGGCCCACTGTGGTAGTTACCTAGTTTCATGTCAACTTGATAAAGTGTAGGGGTGTCAATCAGGTCACAGCTGATGGTGCCTCCTCATGGGTATGGCCTTCTCATAAGGAGGGTCCTGGGAAACCCTCCCGCCCGCCCTTCACCTTCCTGTCGATGAACTACACTGAGACCTGCACCAGCCCTGTGATGCTTCCAGCCCCATTGGATCCACCAGACTTGTCACCCACTGGCCTGTGATCTTCCGTATTCTGCATCATTGTATGTGGCTGTGAGTTTGAGGAGGGACTTATGGACTAGTTTCAGACTTACGGACTTGAATTAGACAGGCCTGAGATGTTTTCCTGATATACAATTACTTCTTGATAAGTTCTTTCCTACACATGAGTGTCACTGGATTTGTTTCTGTAGTCAACCTGGCCTATATGTCCTGGTCTGCAGAATGGCCCCAAAGGTATGGGCCCCTCACTCCAAGAACCCGAGTGCTTCCTGGAAGATGTCATGAGGTGATGGACCCGGGGTTGACTGACACTGGACTATTGGGTCAGAGCCAGTGGGATCACATACGCCCTCGAAAGCAGAGCGCTTTCTCCAGTTTAAGGCAGGAAAGACCTGGCTTTCCAAGGCTGACAGGTCCTCCTGACCCCATGATGTGCTTGGCGGCCCCAGTGAGTTTGGGAACTTGCCCCAGGGCATCCCAAAGGGGACCCCAAGAGCATTTGCAGCAGAGAAACCAGGAGGCCCGCCAGCCCTCCAAATTTTGAGATGAATTCAATCTGTTACATTGTTGAATTTGTGAAGCAGCTTAGAAAACCTATACACTAGAAAAGGAGAGCCCTTATGGCACAGTGGTTAAGAGTTGGGCTAATCTCAAGGTCAGCAGTTCAAAACCACCAGCAGCCCTTCAGGAAAAAGACAGGGCTTTCCAATTCAGTCAAGAGTTACAGCTTAAGAAACTCATAGGGGCAGTTCTACTCTGCCCTTATAGATTGCTATGAGTCAGCATCAACTCATAGCCGCTGATTCTCTCAAGTGCTTGTGCTGGGTAGGGCATAGGCAGCCATGGCTGCCCTTGGCTGGTGAGGGAGGACTTTCTTTGATGGGGCACCTGGGAGGGGGTGGGACAAGACCAGGGCATCCTATTCCTGTAGTTACATTCTCAGATACAGAAAGAGGCAGTTCTACCATCCTACAGGGTCGCTATGAGTTGGTACCAACTCCATAGCAGTGTTTGTTTTTTTTGGAGGAGGTAGGTGCGGTTCCACCTACATCCAGGATAAGTATCCACGTCTCATCCTGGGAAGCTGAACTGAGACTCAGGAGACCAAGCAACTCCCCAACAGCTGGACCCTGCCCACAACATCTGGCACCTGCAGGTTTTCTCCCTTTGGCATGGAGCCAGATCTGCCAGGCAAGCCACAGGGTGGGAGCCCCAGCAAGGATGCAGCAGCAGAGAAGGGGTGCCTGCCGGAGTGCCCCAGCAGGCTCTAGGTGCACCCACAATCAGGGGCAAGCTTTAAGGCGTCAGTCCTTCCTTCTGCTCCAGCCTCCATTCCAGTAGAACTCCCTCTGCCCAAACCCAGGTTCCAATGTCCAGCGGTCCAACAGGAGCTCCCTCAGCCGGTGGTCTCTGTTCCAGGGCATTTGCTGAGAATCCCTGCATCCTCAGGACTCCAGAGGTGGGAAGGGCAGGGCATCCTGGCCAGAAAGGACCAGCCTGGAACCCATATGACCCATCTCTCCTTGGCTTGGTCCACCAACGTTAACTCCCTGAGAAGGTCGGTGCGGCCCACCCTGACACGTGCCCACCGGCCCGTGGAGCCCCTCCCCATTGGCCAGCATGGCCTGGCCCGCAGTTCCGGCTTGTGGAAGGGCTTGGAGCCAGCACTCCTACCCTGCCCGCGGGAGGTTA